TGGCACCCCACTGCTTCCTTTCTTCCAGGTAGATGTAGTACCATTAAGGAGTACTCGCTGAGTACAGTTTGTCAGCCACTTACAAATCCATCTAGTGGTGATGCTGTCTATCCCATATTTTTCTAGGTACCAAAAAGTAGGTTGTGGTTACTTTGTCGAATGCCTTGCTGAAGTCTAAGTGTACTACATTCACAGCATTTTCTGGTCTATTAATTTAGTCACTCTGCCAAAAAATGAAATATGATTGGTTTGGCATGATCTTTTAACAATCTTTTAGTTATAACTTTATTTGTTTTTAGATGTTCGCAGATCTGTTTTTTGATTATTTTTTTCAATATCTTTCTCGGTATTGATGTTAGGCTGATTGGTCTGTAGTTTCCTGAGTCTGGTTCTTTTTTCCTTTTTTGAAGATGGAAACCACATCAGCTCTTTTCTGATCTTCAGGTAGTTCCCTGGTGTTCCAGGAGTTTTTAAAGATATGGTACAATGGTTCTGAGATGACATCTGCCAGATCTGTCAGAACTCTGGTATCTGGTAAACCATCAGGTCCCAGTGATTTATATTCATCAAAATCAGATAGATATACCATTTTCTTGCTTACTTTTATTTCTCGTCTGTCTTTTACAGTTATGTTGGGCTATAGTTTCTTTTTGCATGAAGATTGTTGCAAAGAATGAATTAAGCAGTTCTGCTTTCTCTCTACTGCCTGTTACTTTCTTGCTGTCTTCTCTCTCAAGTGGACCGACTGTTTCCTTGATTTTTTTCTTGTTATTTATGTTGAAAGAAACTTTTTTGTTATTATATTTGACGTTCGTTGCAAGCCTTTGTTTATTCTGAGCCTTTGTTTTCCTGACTTCATCTTTGTAGATTCGGCCTATCTGCTGATATTCTGCCTTAGTTATAGGTCCCTCTTTTCATTTTTTGTACTTGTCATCTTTGTCTTTCAGTTTATCAGAGATCTTTGTGCAACCATGCCAGTTTCTTCTTGTTTTTCTTTCTTTTTCAGTGGTATTGTGGCCCTTTCCTCACAGCGCTAAGAGGCTGAACCGGGCGGCACAAATCCAAAAAGAAATGGGATGCTGCCCAGCCCCCAGCCTGCCCAGTTTCGGCAGGCAGCGGGGCGCTCTCCTCACAGCATTGAGAGGCTGAGCCGGGCGGTGTAAAGCTTTGCACCTTGCTGCCTGCTGAAACTGGGCAGGCTGGGGGTTAGGCAGCATTGCACTTCTCATCAGATTCGCGCCACCTGGCTCAGCCTCTCAGTGCTGTGAGGAGAGCGCCCCACTGCCTGCTGAAACCCCTCCCCCGGAGTCCATCAAGCCGGATATGTGAAGTAGGTGAAGGCCATTTGCTGGCCACTTCCAGGTGATGGTGCATTTCTTCATTCCTCACAAAGGGTGACACCTCCCCAGCAGGGGGCAGGGCCGACACAGTGGGGGCTGGTTCCTTGCTGTTTCCAGACGGCCTTGTGGAGCTAAGACTGAATGCATTTCAGCATAGATGGCCACCACAAAATTGTACCTTGGCTCCCAGCCGGCCTGGGCCAGGGCCAAGGCAGCAGGGGCCGGTCCCTCACTGTTTCCAGAATGGCTTCGCAGGCCACATGAAACCACTCCATGGGCTGCATCCGGCCCCTGGGCCTTGTGTTTGACATGTCTGCTTTAGGTTCTCTCTAGTAAATCAAAAGGGCCCATTTTTTAAACCTAGCTCTAGCTTTCTTTTTCTGCCAATCAGGTTTCCATACCAGTGCCTTTAAGTTATCAGATAGTTCTCCCTTCATTCTGACACATGTTACTTGAATCAAAGGAGACCATCTAATCATCAATTTTCCAAAAGAACCAATCCATTTGTATTCATTAAGTTGTTGCCCTGGTAGTTCAAATCTCAGTGTTTGCTCTGGTGTCTTTATCTTCAGTTCAGTCTGGTCTTCTTCTTCCTCAGGTTTATTTTGGTTTAAGTAAAAGGTCATATCCAATTTTATAGTTATTGTTTGGTTATCTAGGTTTTCAATATAGTGTTGATCTTTAGCATCCTCTGTTTTGGTATCAGTTTCTTCCGTTT